ACACACACACACACACACACACACACACACACACAGACTAACACAGAGAGAGAAAGATAAAGAAAGAGAGAAAGAAATAAAGAAAGAAAGAAAAAGTGAGAGAGAGGTGAAAGAAAAAAGGAAAAAGGGACAGAGAGACAAAAGGAAGGAAGGAAGGAGAGAGAGAGAGAGAGAGAGAACACATGGCCGGCAAGCCACTCCCACCAGGTCACATGGCTGGCAAGCCACTCCCACAAAGGAGGCCACACCCACAGAGTAGGTTCGAAAATTTTTTGAAACCCACCACTGATTGGTAGTCATTCTTTTTCGTGCATATGTATTATAAAATGGTGCTTAAAAAGTGTTTTTTAAAACAAACAAACCATTCCATTCTTTCTTGGGCCACCAAATGGCTCAATCACTTTTTCTGAAGTCTTTTGTTTCACTCCTACTCATGTTTTCACCTAGCCACAGAACAATCAATGGGAGTCCTAGACCCTTCTCTTTAATTCTGTTCTAAATTTATTTATCTGCCTCTTATCCACTTGATTCACAAAAACTAATAGCACAGGTGATCCTCACCTAGATGGTAAACTTGGGATGTTTCACTGCCTAGTTATTTGGCAGGGTTTATCCTAAGCCTTTATTTCCTCCTTGTACAAACAGTTGACACCCAGCTATCTCCCAAACCTTTCATAACTGAAATAAAGGGAAGAGGAAATGGAAAAGAAAATGGGAATGAACAGGGAAAGCGACAAATATGTAGGCTTCCTAACTAATACATAGGATGAAGTTTGAGATGGGAGGACTGGGAAACATAGAAATAATTATTGATATGCTTTGAAAGAGAAGGAGAAATATGGTGATATTTCCCCTTCCCCAAGTTTTTTGTGCATTAGATTATCAACTTTCCCAAGCGCTTAGTTTTGTATTCACAGAATTGCATAGCTGGAAGTTGTCATTTAAGGTGGTCATCAAGTTCAACCTCCTATACAATGCAGAAATCCAAATTAAAGCATCCCACACACATGGCTGTCTTCACCCATCAACAAAAACGTAAGGTTTTACTCTCCACCTCCAATTATAATTGTGACAGCTTGGATTTACCCACAGTGTTAAACTGTTATTAATATTTAAAATTGTTATTCCCAATGAAAATATGGCAATGGTTTTGTTTACTTTCACTTTTAGATGATTCCAGAGGTTAATTATAACTTCACAAAAAGTCTGTTTTGTAATGGAGTCTGCAAATTGTGCAGTACTGAGATCTGTGCTTTTTATTTATTCATAAATGACATAGAGGTAGGGATGGAGCAGTAAAGTGGCTCCTCATGCATACTTAAAATAAAAGGGATGGCAACAAAATTCTACATAAGAAATTCTGTAATTCAAGGAATGGGCACAACAGGAGAAAAGCCAATAGAATGTTAAAAAGTGCATATCACTTTACAGTTTTTTTTATAAAAAGCAAACCTAATTTCACATATATGTGATGGATCATGGCTTGAAATGACTAAACAGAAAAGGGACATTTGAACCAACTGAATCTTCCATGATTTGCTTAGATTATTTATATTTTTATTTTATTTTCACTTCTATCAAATATGTTTTCATCTAGATGGATTTAGGGTGTGACTGAATCGAGTTGAGCATTTGCTGGCCGGATGCCCTTCATGATGCCTATGCAGAGTTCGCAACAGGTATTTTCTCTTTGCCCCTGATAAACATCTGTCACTACCTAGGATTGAACTCTCAACCTGCTAAGTGGAAGGTGAATGTTTTTTCATCTAGGCCATTGCACCGTTCTATGTATATTTTCATAATAAGATGCAGAATTTAATTTAACAAGACATCTACTTAGGCAAACATTTCAATTGTCTTCAAGCAATATTACTATGGAATAAAAGGAAGTGCAAAAAAGGTAGTGGCCCAATTATTGTACAATAATTAGTTTACAATTCAGAGTACAAGGATATTATCTATAGAATATAAGAAACACTATGCCTTTGGCACATATTTTGGATGTTGATATATATTGCACCTTTCTGTCTCATTCATCTTAGACAGACAACATGGCTGTTAGAAACTTTTTCCTACATGGAGACAGAATAACAGAGTTGGAGGAGACTTTGGAGGTCATCTAGTCCAACCCCCTGCTCAGGCAGGAAACCCTACACCACTTCAGACAAATGGTTATCCAACATCTTTTTCCAGTGTTGGAGTATTCACAACTTCTGGAGGCAAGTTGTTCCACTGATTAATTGTTCTAACTGTCAGGAAATTTCTCCTTAGTTCT